TTTTGAATTTCGGTAATGCACTAAATGGTTAGAATTTCTGCTTTACTATACTTCTGTAGCTTCCATAAGCCAAATTTCACCGCGCGCACAAACAACGTCGCAAGCCATATATATTACAGCATTACGAGCCATAATATGCCTTAGCAAGGTGCTAATTAAGTTGCATAATTGTCGGAAGTCTCTAAATGTATGTAAACAGACAAAAACAGATTTTAAAATGAATTGAGGGATTTTGCGTGTTACATATTAATATCGTACTTTTGAACCATGTGTATTCAGCTAATTTATTTACATCTGATAAACTTATAATTGGGCCTCCGTACTGATTAAAATCTATTCAAAATTGAGGACCGGCATCCTAGGACGGACATTTCAGCTTGAAATTCGTTGTCTTTAATGCAGTCTGACATAGCTACAAATTATACAACAATTGAAATACCCTAGCTAATATTTGAAGACATAAATACAGTGACCTAACGCGCGTTCGGTAGGGTTACGACGAGAACTAAGGGATCCCCATTTATTGGGGGCAAGGATAGATAACGAAACATCATAGTTAAGCAAAACGTGATTTATGACAGACAGGGAATTAAGGGACCCCGCAGTACCAAGTATACCTCAAGACCCCATCTTCCGTTCGTTACGCCACTGCATGAATATCATAGCAATTTAAATATGTACGTGCATCTAGTCTAAAACGGGAGCCGGAGCAACAAGATCTTCAGTGCCCTGCTTACAAAATTGTCTTATTTCCTTAAAAAGGTATCTTTGTCTCCCCAGATCTAAGCCATCTGGCTCGATCGTTGCTGGCATGTTGAAAGGTGGCAATTGGGTAGCATATTTTAATAAATTGAATTTCTTCTCAACTGAATTCACAAACTCTTTGTAAGCAACAATTCCCGGTTGGTCAAAAGCAAAACGGAAATGGTGATACGTTGTAATGTTTGGGATCTTTTTGAAGTACTTACCCAAAAATGTCGACCAGTCATAAACCGGGACGATAACTTTGCCATCGTGGCTTCCCACAAGCTGGGCTTTATTTAGTCCAATTGAGCTTGACAGATCAACCAGTGAACCAAACTCGTATATTGAGGACACATAAGAATTTCTAAATGCTTTTTTCAACAAGCCGAAACCACGATCGGGACTGAACTTTGTGTGACCAGCAAGGAGAAACGAATAGATAATTGTGCTGTGGAGCTTGTTTATAACTCTCCAGGCAAAGTACCACAAAAAGAAATTGTTTTTATTTTGCCCACCACAATTGTCCGCGTGAAAATGTACATCAGTCTCTCCAAAGCCGTGATGCTCCAAGAAATAATGTAGGTAGCTAATGGTTGGATTGGCTCCTTTTCCAACTGACACAGCCTCGTATATTAAAAAATTTATTTGGCGGGGAACAGCTTCACATGTTACACCGAAAATCCCGCATTTTCTAGGTGTCTTGAAATAGATGGGGCCAGGTTGCATCGGATTACTCGGTATGTGGACTTGCTGAGCATAGTCAAACGAATAGTGCATTTTCGTTCTAAGAGAGCATGGATATCGAGACTCGGTAAAGTCAAAGTTTTGATCAAACGACGTCAAACTTTCTTCTGCTTCGTTGCAGGATTTTCGATAACATTCTCGCTCTGCTTTAGCTCTATCCAGATGTTCTTGGTGCAGTTTGACACAAGCTGATTTTTCCTCTTCAGATAAATTAATTGATCTCTGAGCTTTGTAGTGTTCTCTTGACAAACTGCGCACAAATCTGTCATGGGTTTGGCCACAATGATGTCAGGCAGGGTCTCTTTCCAAAGGTCGGCAAATTTCGAATAAGATACCGAAGCCTTCCCTGTAATTTCGCAGCTTTCCTTATAACATCTCCATACGCTAATTTTGCTTTCACAGGATGGTAGCAGTTTGATGTCGTCATTTTTGTAGCCAGGTATTCTACCGGGCAACAATACCCCATTTTCCTCGGCATAATTCGAAATAAATGTCTTTATATCTGATATAGTCGAATAGGATATTGTGTTACTTGGCAATCTCTTCTTGTTTCCATGGGTTCTAGGGTAAATGCCGAAGGTATCATAGTGTTCTTTGAGTGAACGAAAACGAGTATCGCTTATGCCATAGAACCGCAGGAACATTTTCTTGCATATCGGTATCGATTTATACGTAAAACAGCATCGGGGGCTTCTAATTCGTTTTTCACCAACTTTTTCAGTATACTCGTGTGTCGAGGCTTGTATGTTTGCCAAAATTACTAAGTCAAGTTCTTCTCTACTCAATTCCAAGCAATTATTAAGGTTGGAAAGCAATGTTTCTTTTGAAAAAGATTTGGAACAAGGATTTCCAGTTTGACCACCGGTGCAACCGCAGCCAACTTCGAGAAATGATTGTACGCTTTCTTCTAAACTCTCCTGGTTTTCAGTTTCTTGTCCCTCGCTCATAGCTATTTGAAACTAGTGATAAAAAAATTGACTTATAAACTAAGAGCCTCCCATGGAGAGGATGACCTTTGATCAAGATGTAACTTTGATCAAGACTGATGTAACTTTGATCAAGATGTAAATTGGAGTAACTTGCGTAGTGAACCACTATGACAATTGACAATTTCTCGCGCAATTGCGCTACACATAGGAAAATTTTAGATGAAGAAGACCTATAAACGGAACATCAAACTTGTAGTTTTAGTATAGACCTACATTTTCTGCACAATATATTGTGACAGTTTATAATTTTTATTACATGCAATGACAAATAACCTTAATTGTTTCCCTTTTTCACAACTTAAATGATTGATCGATGCATGACTAATCGAATATGTTAGTTGAATTTTATGCTAGCAATTAATATAATTCATATATGCGCACACATTTTTAAACATTAGTACCATAAATTCTGTTGCACCTGGGTTTCAGTTGACGAAGCATATCTGCAACTTGTAATAGAACATCAGACTTGCAGTTAAATTTGTACATTTTCTGCACAATATATTGTGACAGTTTATAGTACATGCAATGACAAATAAATGTCATTGTTTCCCTTTTTCACATTTAAATGATTGATCGATTCACAACTAATCGAATGTTAGTTGAATTTTATGCTAGCAATTAATATAATTCATATATGCGCACACATTTTTAATCATTAGTACCATAAATTCTGTTGCACCTGGGTTTCAGTTGACGAAGCATATCTGCAACTTGTAATAGAACATCAGGGGCCGGTTGTTCGAAAGGCGTTTAGCTTAAACGGTGGATAAGCCAAAGTTTAAAATTACTCTCATGCATCTTGTGAATGACTAAATCTGCATCTTATGCATTAAATGTGTACTTCCATTGACAATTAAACTATTTACATCGAAATATTTCAGCTCAGTTGTTCAATAAATATACAGTTTTGCTTTCCATTTTGAACTTATCCACCGTTTAAGCTAAACGCCTTTCGAACAACTGTCCCCAGACTTGCAGTTAAATTTGTACATTTTCTGCACAATATATTGTGACAGTTTATAGTACATGCAATGACAAATAACCTTAATTGTTTCCCTTTTTCACAACTTAAATGATTGATCGATGCATGACTAATCGAATATGTTAGTTGAATTTTATGCTAGCAATTAATATAATTCATATATGCGCACACAGTTGACGAAGCATATCTGCAACTTGTAATAGAACATCAGACTTGCAGTTAAATTTGTACATTTTCTGCACACTATATTGTGATAGTTTATATTACATGTAATGACAAATAAATGTAATTGTTTCCCTTTTTCACAATTTAAATGATTGATCGATTCATAACTAATCGAATGTTCGTTGAATTTTATGCTAGCAATTAATACAATTCATATATGCCCACACATTTTTAATCACCAGTACTATAAATTCTATTGCACCTGGGTTTCAGTCGACAAAATATATCTGCAAAGTGTAATAGAACATCAGACTTGCACTTAAATTTGTACATATTCTCCACAATATATTGTGACAGTTTTTATTACATGCAATGACAAATGAATGTCATTGCTTGTTTCCTTTCTTCACACATCATATATATATAGTCGCTGTTCAGTGAAGATAAAACGATTTGACTTGTTACATAATATAATATATTGTATTATACCGTATCATTGCATTCTTATGACGATGGCGCAAAGCGAAGATATAACGATAATTTGGAAAACAAACTGCAAGTGGAGAGATACTGATTATGTTGTTAAAAGAAAGGATGTACGACCGATATGTGGAAAGGACGCGAAGGCATGTGCGCTGTTAAAACCAGGAGATTCGGTAAAGGTCAAATATGGCGCACGTTGGTATAACGCAGAAATTATCCAAATAGGAAATATCGGCATTAGTAATGAAGGCGGGATATGATACTTGCTTGATCTCATTCAATAAATTTCAAGAGTTGTATTTATATGTGATATCATATGCCCTTTTTCTATTTTTGTGTCAGTTGTTGATGCGATAGATGTTCATAGTCATGGTGGTGAAAATAATGATCACTACGAACAGTTTGTGGCTGAACAAAGAAAGAGAGAAAGAGGATGGGAAGTAACGCGTGAGGAAAGGAGGGCAAAATTACAAAAGAAACTGGCAAAGGAATCTGAGGCTTTAACAACGCATGTTGACGAGTTTCATAACAATGCGGCAGTCGTTGCTGTTGACCAGACAAAGGTATATGCATTATATGTTAAGTATATTAATGCACGCATGCCCAAAACAGAACATTACCAAAATTCTGTTTATCCACAAACGTATAGATTGTTCTTTCATATTCAAGTCTCATGCATGCATTCGAATATAATTTACATGAATGCATGCGTATTAAACAAGCGTGTATTAATTTAACAAAATTTTATGCAGATTAGGATAAAAGACATAGCAGACATAAAATGAAAGTATTATATAGACGATTAATGTTACCAAAATCATTATCAATCATTTCTATCTTTTCAGATGATTGAGATTGAGGAAATAAAATGCATTTTAAAAAGAAATTTTCTGAGGATAGATAAACGTCTGGAGTCATTGGAAAAACTCGCCAAATCTTCGGAGAATGTAAGTGCCATTTTTTATAACTCAGAGCAATATATATAGCTCAATTAGACGATATGGATCAAATCTTAATCTTAACTTTGTTTTAGACAATAGAAGAAATGCGCATTTCGTTGCAAAGTTTTCTGCCCGGGACAAATCAGCGTTTTGAGAGGCCTGAGCTTTTGGAACCTTCTGCTCATTCAACTGAAAAGGTTAGTTGCATCATGATCAGTGTTCGGCAGGAAATTAAAGCCCCGTTTACACTACGCGCGATATGGCACGGATAAAAGTTCCGGCCGTGCCACGTTTACAAGTTCTTGCATGGACTATACACTATAGGTATAGTCCAAGCACGGATAAAATGGTATGGGTGCCAGTTTTATCCGTGCCGTACCAAATATCGCGCGTAGTATACGCGGCAAGATTTTACTCGAGAACTCGTGCCAAATATCTTTTACTGTATACTTTATATTTAGTATGCAATAATTAAAACTCTTATATAGTTGGGTAAACAATGAAGTAAATCTAGATAACTATTAAACTGGTATGCTACATTGCAATGATGGCCTACCGCAATGAAATTTGAACGAGATATTTAGACCTCACACAAATATCTATATATTTATATAGGAATTCAGTAGCCCATTTAATAATTCCTCGACATCGTTTCTCGAAGACACGTCATCGACCGTGAATTCATCAGGCGATCATGAGCAATTTCAGCTATCAACGATAGACATAGATGTTTTGAAGCGCTTGATCGATGACGCCGATGTTCATCCGGTCGAGGGCGATCAAGATAAAGCCACAAACAGTTCGCAACTTTCACCAAAGTCAGATGCACCAAGCACAAGTCAAGTATTGTCTGATGATATTATACGAAAATTTGTCACACCGAGCAAGAATATCAAAAAAATTAGCGAGGCGTTAGAAAAGATCCCAGAGCCACGAAAGTGTGCATTGAAATTGCTACCTTTTTTTTTCTCCGACCGTGAGCTAAGTGAATCCAACACTGATGGGACGCATGGTAAACCACCACTCGATCCAGTTAAATTGAATTCATTGAAAGGTGTGTTGTCGAATTAAATGTAAATGACTAATGTATACTCAAATGACAAATATTAAAACCCTCTTGCGAACCATTCAAAATCCAGCAACGGCAGGACTCTATATATCGATACTATACCTACTGTTAATAATTTGAATTACACGTTCTCATATCGATAAAAATCTTGTTTTTCTTTTACAGTATTGTTATTCATGCGCTTTATCCATGAAGAGTAAATACGACGAGGAACTTGTTTGGAAAGCGGTGAAGACAGCCATAAACAATAAATGCCGGGCAAATAAGTTTTATAAAAAGAGACTTGATCTGGCATAAATATAACTCATATATGCATTGTAAATATTTATTTAGATTCTTAATTCACAAAAAATTGCTTTATATATATTGATATATATGGACATTTCAGCACAATTCACTTCACATGTATATTTTGGTTGTAATTTGATTTCTCTTGATTAGCTCCTCGAATCGGAAACGTGGAACGCGGAAAAAGCTCAAATCGTACAAATGATAGAGACTTTATGAAAGTAATGAACCTTTATGAATGATGTTCATTGTTTGACATTGTTTATTATAATAAAAAAACACCAGTGTCGCACAATGAACATCATAATATTGCTCAGGGAAATTTAGCATATAGGCTTTGTTAATGCACAAAATATCATCTGGTCAACATAATTAGAGCCGTGGCCCGTGTGACAAATATAACAAACCAGAAATTGTAATCTATATTATACCATTTAAGTTTTGTTGATATTAAACTAGCATAAACCATCAAAGACGCCGTCTACAAATTCCGTGTTTTGTGAGATTGAGTTTAGCGCTATGTTTTAACCAAGTGCGTGCAAACCCAAGGGCAAGTTGCCAAGTTAACGCGTACAAACATTTAAGTTTGACCTCTCGGACATTTCGCTTATATATATTTCGCTATATTTCATCAGAAAACGAACATTAGAATTTATCTTGCTTGGACAACATATCAGCTGCTTGGGCAACAGGAAAATATTCACTAATTCTGATTTGGGCTCTTTTATTAGGAAAGTACATCCCGGATATTAAATTGCAATCATGCATGGTCATTGCACCTTGAAGGCTGAAGCCTGCCAGCTAGAGCGGCAAAATGAACAAATTTGAAATGGCGCCTATGAACTGTTTATGCGTATATGAGCGCGCGGGTAAAGATCTTGAACAGTAATTTCGCGAAGACTAAATCAAATATTTGCTGGATATTAACATCTATCGGGAAGTCAAGGCGTTTTAACACGTGCATATAAAGGTATGAAGTATGAACACTATACGAAACATTAGCTATAATATAAGGCTATTCATGACTGGCATACTTTATTAGGCGCGCTTGCAATTATTTCCTCCCAGCATTGAAATCCGGCTTATCGATGAAATCATCAACAGAATTCGTATTACGGTTGGCTCGATTTAAAGTTTTTTTTCCTTGAGTGTGTTTGCTTGGCTAAACTGTAGCTCTCTATTGATCCATGCATATATCGAAATATGACACGCATTCGAAGTAAGATTTCATATAGATGATCATGCAATTGTATATAACAAGGCGTTCTCAATTGCATTTTATGTATATATGCTAACGCGAGTAAAATGGAGTCGGATATAAATGCACACTGCAATATAACCCTTTAGATTACTTGTCTTGGCCGGGGGAATCGAGTTTGGCCACGATCATCCAATCATTCCGAAAAACATGACATGAAAGGTTGCCAGACCTTCAAAATGGCTTGGCTGAGGTTAGAGTAGTTGTTAAGCTTGGTGGTTACAATTTAATAGGATGCATTTACTCACATTAAAACAACAATTGTTTACAAACTTTGCTGACATTTTTCAAAAAATATGTGGGTAGATGCTACCTCGAAATATATATAATTATATGATATAACTAAAGATTTCGCCAGACAAAATGGATTGATCATGATGCTTTCATGCATGTCTTATTTTAATAATCTGTCCGGGGAAATCTTGATTAGTTAATTTTACTGTAAGCAGGAGGCACAAATTGTGTCACAAGTAGATGTCTCGAAGATGTTGAGGATCGATGTTTCTTAAAATGGTGAGTATAAACTCCCCTGTGCATGCATTTGGCATCGTCGTTTCTATATGGGCGGCAGCATTGCTATATGCTTTGCAGAAAATTATTTGCACTCTTTGTGATTTAAAAACCCGGTTTCTATATGGGCCGTCTGCTATTGCTATATGCTTTAGTGAAAATACTGTGCACTCTTTTCTTGCTGCCGGGGTTGAGTATTAAGTTGCTTTGCAGGGCGGATATTCGGACCTTCGGGATTGCGGATTGCCGGCGATCGTTTGAAATGAAGATTTCGAAATTATCCCATTAATTTACGCGTTCTATTTCTTTAGGTCACTATTGTTAGGCTCATGCAGGTAGCTTAGGTATTTTTACACAGTTAACTATGTAGATGGTCGAATATATGGGGGGAAAAAAAATATTTCCTGATGAATATATTGACCACCAAGAATTTAGTTAGCTAATTTAATATCACAAGTATTAATTAGCGATATACTGGCTCATAAGTCATAACACATGCATATGTGATCGTATGGTCACAAAACATATCACTTATATGAAAAAATATGGCGGCAGAAATAGCAACATTGCAGCTTTAGCTTTGCGAAGAAAATATGGCGATGGTGCACGCAGTCAATAAAATAGATTATTATCAAACTTTAAAATATTCTTAACGTATAATGATGCCCTTATAGTCGTTACTGACATTACTGTGTATAGGCGACATTCCGCGACAAGCTTGACTGCAGGTAGAGGCTACTGGTGTTGCTGCACGGGACATATTCGGTGTGCACTAGGTAAATATCCAAGCTTATATTTTAAATATTTTAGTACCGCGCAATGCATTGCTGAAATTGAAATGTGGATTTTCACGTGTATAAATGGTTTGGATATTTAATGTAGTATTTATACCAAATAAGTTTTGACAGCATGCAAGCACACGTTACTACGCTGGTTCGCATACAAACGAACTTTGCCTATGTGATATTCTGTATTAATGTCTGGTTATCATCTGTAAACAACTTGATCCTTGCGCTAATTAATTTAATCGTTTGCGCGTCAAAGAGTATAAGCAAAAGTGTACAGTGGAATCTCTTGTGTTTAGTTTAACATAAAATATGTATCCAGTAGCTCAAACTCAACCAAACTGAGACGGTGCATGACCGATGACATTGCCTATGATATTATTATCGAAGCCAGGCCATTTATGGCATCTTCGTTTACTCTCGGTTTAGAGCCGTGTTAATAAAACGGATGCATGCTGTATGTGTATATGTCTTTAACCACTCATACATATAGTTTGTCTGTGGAGAGATTTACAAAATCTGTACGTTGTTGCAAATGACACGCGCTGAATATCTTAATGGGTATAGTTGCAGATGATGCATTGATTTTTGACATAGGATAATTTGTACTAATAACTGAAGGCTTTCTAACGATTAACCCGAATTTTGATGCAAATGCAAATGTATATATGTATATAAAGTATATAATATTGTGATTTAGGTAGTATAGCTATAAATAATCTTAGTTAAGCATTGAAATGAAGGTATAGCTATTTATGTACACGCGCATATTTGCGCCAACACATGTTACGTGTTTGAAAATATTTCCTATTCTTTTAATTAGTCAATAATATCTTGCGTCAATCATACGCGCAACAGGCGTTCAGACTAATTCGTTAAAACCGTTCATAAACATAAATCGTTCAAACGGCTTCTGATTGAACGTTTATTTATCCGTTCGTATTCTCGACTTTAAACGTTCACATTTTTAGCTGAATTCGTCAAAACGTTTTCTGGGTTCGTTGAAACGTTATTACAGATCGTTCACTACCCGTTCGTTATCCGTTCGTTTTGCCGTTTCAACGAAATATCGTTAACGTACGTTTTCCCGTGGAAGGTCACAATTATGCTTTGCATGGAGTGGCGACTACGAATCTTTAAAGCAGTTCATAAAGGACGACCTAGATCTCGAAGGAATATGGTCGCAGCCTGGTGGGGATAGAAAACTTTTCACTTTTGATGAATCTACCATATTGTGGAAAAAGAATAAGAATCTTTTGTACCTTGATGGTGCGAGAGCGAACGAGATTATACAAAAGTTTTGTAAGTTGATATGCTCTTCCGAAGCTCCCATTTTGGACGCTCGGCAGTCGGGCATGCAATCGTCTACAGTCAATGTAATTCTAGATGACCTTCAACAAGGCCAGTTGGTAAACTCGGAAGCGATTCGGGCTTTATCGGGGACGATTTCTCACATAACATCGGTGATTTCGCATTTCCAGAGCTTTATGGATAAAGATAAAGGCGGCCAAGACGATTTAAACTCGGCAGCGCCTCCGAATGAAGCGAGCGAACAATCCGAATATGTTAATCAAGATAACATTAATGATGCAACAATTGTGAAGCCTTTTGTCTTGAACGATTCCGCAAATCCTAATATGATCAATGCGCCGGAATCTGTTAACGATCTCATTAATCAAGAACCCATTGTTATTGATGATTCATGCGAACATACTAATGATAGCCTTGTTGTCGTGAAATTAAGCGAGAACGAACAGTTAAAACCTAATAATGATACAACAAGTGCTGAGCTGACTTCACCGCAAGAATGTAAATTAACTTACGCAAACACTGTAAAGTCATCTCATGCAATTGATACGAGTAATAAACCTAAGGTAAACCTGCAGAAATCACCAAGCAGAAACAAGGTGCCTTCTAGCGAGTCCGATGGTTTTATCGGAGTAGAGCGAAAGCGAAGAAAAATAAAAAAAAATTTTCTATCTGGCATCGCCCAAGACGTGAATGAAAATCAGATTTTATCTTACCTAAAGAAGAAAAATATAGTCCCAACATATATCTCCATTTTCCCTAGTCGGCGCAGTGGAACCCTTTCATCGAAGATCCATGTCCCTCTGGCTACTAGTTCACTCGTGCAAGAAGATAATTTCTGGCCAAAATTTGTTACTTGTAAGCCTTGGCGCCCAAAGAAGGAGCATCTTGCGAAGCATGAAATAAATTTAACCCATAAGGGAATTTTATCAACGTACGTGTAATGGCTCACACAATTCAAGTCAGAATATCTTCTCGCGCTCATGGCCATAGATCTAGGCAAAATGCGCGGAACATGCATCGCAACCTTAAATACGTGAATATTGCAAAGCATGATGCTTTGACGGATGTTAACAATACTAATAGATCTAATATGAATAAGTCTGTCCAAAAGTCAGCACCTTGCAACAATCTTCAGTTCGTTCCATCTCTCCTACTGTCCAATACGATGTCAATTGTACCAAAGATTGACGAAATAGCCTATACGATTAGCCTGGAAAACCCTGATATAGCCTTTTTTACAGAGACTTGGCTTAAAGAATCGATACCAGACCAGTCAATTAAAATAAACGGATACCAATTATTTCGACGTGACCGCATTAACAGTTCACATGGGGGTTTGTGCGTACATTAAAGACTCTATTGAAAGTAAAATTCTGTTAGATCTCCAAGCGGACGAATACGAAATACTATGGCTACTACTTCGTCCAGAAAGGCTGCCCCGTGGATTCCATAATATAGTTGTAGCGGTTATTTACCATCCACCCAATTCGGATAATAAAGCAATGCTGGATCATCTAAAAAACTCGTTAGAACGCGTTGAAACCATACACACTAATAGTGCGATCATTTTGGCTGGAGACTTCAATCAACTAGAGTTTAAATCAACTGCCAGGTGCTTCCAGCTTAAACACATGGTGACCTTTCCTACAAGAGGTGGAAATACCCTGGATCAAGTGTTTACTAACTTACATAAATTCTACACTGATCCTATTCCTAGCCCTCCATTTGGCTTATCCGATCACATAACTATCTTAATATTTCCAACAAGGCGACAAAAAACCGGGTGCCATAAAAGATTAATCAAAGTACGGGATAGAAGACCAAGTAAAGTTGGAAGTCTTGGGAGATTTCTGTCAAACATAGCTTGGGAAGACGTGCTATCAACCGCCCCGACTGTTGATGAGAAATTAAAAATTTTTACCGATCTTATCCATTGTGGATTAGATATCCTGATGCCGGAACGTTCGATAAAAGTTCATGTGTCTGATCGTCCATGGATGACTAACCAACTTAAACAGCTCATTATTCAAAGGCAAAAGGCGTTCTCACGAGGAAAGGATGGTTTATTCAGGCATTTAAGGAATAAAGTAAACCGTGAAAGGAAGCGATGCCGAAAAAGTTATTATCTATCTAAAGTCCGTGGTCTAAAGGAAATTAAACCGCACAGATGGTGGCACGAAATCAAACTGTTATGTGGCTCTTCGGAAAAGCATAACCCAGATTTTCGATCAAGCTTGACTATGAACTTAAAGTGCAACGATTACGAACTAGCAAATAAGATCAATGAAGCCTTTATCAGTGTTATGGCAGACCACGATCCGCTAACTAATGACGTATGTGTCTTGAAGGAAGACGATGACGAACCAATACAAGTTACCGAAATGTTGGTCGCAAAAACTTTACGTGAATTAAGCGCCACAAAAGCGAATGGTCCGGACAAGTTACCAAACTGGGTACTGAAGACATACGCCGATATATTAGCACCTGCCGTTGCTGATATTATCAACTGCTCATTCCAAACGTGCAAAGTCCCACAAGCATGGAAGATGGCTGACGTTCCCCCCATCCCTAAACAATCAAAGATCACGGACTTTAATAAAGATCTAAGGCCAATTTCTCTGACGTCAACCTTATCAAAAGTGGCAGAAAAATTCATCATTGACAGAGGTCTGAGGCCGACTTTGCTTAGATCTTTGGATCCATCACAATTTGGTTTTGTACCAGGCTCATGTACAACGTTTGCTCTTATCTCAATGTTACACAAATGGCTAACTGAAACCGATGGCACAGGCTCAGCGATAAGAGTAGCTTTACTCGATTACAGGAAAGCCTTCGACTTGGTTGATCATAATTTGCTAATTGCAAAATTACTCAGTTATGGTTTAAAACCCACAATCGTAAATTGGATTACGGACTTTCTACGAAATAGATTACAGCGAGTAAAGATATCAACCGAAGGTGTATCCGACTTCCTACAAGTTCCAGCGGGCGTCCCACAAGGAACCAGGATTGGTCCATGGCTGTTCTTAGCCATGATTAACGATCTACGTATCAATGGTTCCCCCACAAATAGTATATGGAAATTTGCAGACGACACGACCATTTCTGAAGTCATCTTAAGGAACATGGAAAGTAGATTACAAGATACAATAGACCAAGTTGCTCAAATGGTCCAATGAAAATAAATTTCAGTTAAATCCGATAAAGTGTAAAGAGCTCCGAATTGACTTTACTAGAAGACCCTCTACTGATGATGGTTTGATTCTAAATGGCAAACGCTTTGAACCTGTTAAATCAGCTAAACTACTGGGTATGACCATCACGGAAGACCTAAAATGGAACAGTCATATCGAAAATATTGTATTAAAAGCATCAAAACGACTATACTTATTAAGGCAGTTAAAACGTGCAGGTGTAGATCATTATTCCTTGATTCAATTCTACTGTACATGCATTAGATCCATCTTAGAATACGGCTCCCAAGTTTTCCACTCAGGCCTTCCTGATTATTTGTCGCTGGATATGGAACGTGTACAAAATCGAGCTTTGCGGATAATCTACCCGGAATCAAGTCCAAAAGTCGCATTGAAGGAAGCAAAATTATTAACACTGAAGGACAGAAGAGAAAAGTTATCACAAAAGCTATTCTCGTCCATCGAAACAAAAGATGATCAAAATTACACATACTACAAAAGAAAATTTACCAACACTTAATTTTAGAGAACTGAGAAGATTTAATCTTCCCATTATTAATACGAATAGGTTATTGAACTCTTTTATTCCAAATTATGCGAAAAAATCAAAACTTTAAGCATATTAGTATAGTTTTAGTATTAATACTTTATCGTAGCGGAACATTTTACAGTAATCTTAAATTTAATAGAATTTTATAGCAACATGTTGTAAATATAGTAAACATATTCCATTTTTTACTTAAATTTCTTTGCCTGTAAATTCAATTGTAATTCAGTCGTAAGACTGCAAAAATTGATCAATTAAACATTAACAAGATTAACAAAAAAAACATCCTACGTAAAAACTGGAACATATTGGAGAATGACCCCACACTGAGGAGTCTATGGCAAGAACCTCCAATTGTAGCTTACCAATGCAATACTAACCTGACCAAACATAACAACATCCCATTACCCAAATCACCCAAGTCTTCCATCAACCCCAAACCTAAACAAAACCAGCCAAAAACCTCCACACCACCGTGAACACAGAGATACAAAATTTTAACCACTCCCAATTGACATTGTGTCTGAATACCACCTTGAAAACACCAGAGTGGATATAACAAACCAAAGAACTTACTGTGACACACTGAGATACAATTGAGAACATGCCAGAACCAACACACGGCAAGCAAACCTTGTGGCACTCTCCTGTGAAAACAACAAAACTACATGACCTTAACCAGACACCTAAATCTGGCATCCTGGGCATCCTGCTGACATAAATATAAAACAATTTTTTAAAAATACCTTAGCAGAATTAGGCCATAAATGTGACCAGATGCCCGAACAAAACCTAAATGTTCAACCACACGGATTAAATACACTTCAAATCAAACCACACGGACATGGTCACGGGAAACATAGTCTCGTCCAACAATCTTTATGTAATATAATGTACAGTCCATATGCTGTATATATACAGTAATTTGAACGCATGACAAGGTCCACATCGACTTCGAATTACCGATGATAATTCAAACACCAACTAAATAATGATATCTATATACCTACAACCTTACATGCACTCACAATTATATGCACGTTTTACAAGCTTATTATAAAACTTCTAAATACATACAAACCTTAAAAACCTTGACTATCTCAAAAACGATAACCCTAATCACGATTGAAACCCTCACGGTTGATGCATCGCCGAACATCGACCCACGGAAGTTTTTAGGACCCGGGGTAGTTTACTACCCACAGATGACGATATTGCACTCTAATTCTGTAATTCCTCGCTAAAAGTCCAAAACACTTCGACCATACTTGTAATACTAATATTAGTGAGTTTGGGAAATACAACGGCAACGGCAATTGCAACGACAAAATATATTCACCTAATATTGTGGTATTCAAAGAAAATACGAGTTAGTATCGACTTGATTTGCCTGTTCAAGATTCCTCTTTCTCTAAAACAGTTATTAACTATTATAAATATGGTCGATCAGCAAAATTACATCTAACACTCCAAACAACATCGAACACATTAACTGTTGCCGTGTGGTCATGCACCGTGAAATTCGTATAAGTAACGTTGCCGTTTCAGCAACTACGGCAGTGTGCAACGTTAAAGGCCACGTAATTTACATTTTCTTTTGTCTTAAAGGATCAATGCCATTGTTGATAAAGACGTTGCGGTTGCCGTTGCCGTTGTATTTCCCAAACTCACTAAGGGGCTGTTTACATGAGCCCGGTTACCCGAGATTTAACGAAGCGTGAGATGATTTTGAGGTATTGAAATGAGCAGATAACATGATCCTGCATGGCAGTCGTATAATCACCACAACAATAGCATGTACCTATTTGGTGTCGTAAAGACTTTTTTCAATACTTCAAAGTCCTCTCACGCTTCGTTGAATCTCGGGTCACCGGGCTCATGTAAACAGCCCCTAATTCATGACTACGGTGCATGATAAAACGCAACTTTAACAATAATAACCAACCATACTACATGAAGTACAACCCACGACCAAAACACACTTAAACCTCGGATGTCCACGCACAACCATAATTGACACGTAAACCCCCACTATCCCCAACACAGACTTTGACACCTGACCTCAGTGACGTAACATACTAATGCATTTTATGCACACACGTGTAATCCCTGACCCCTTTTCGATCAAGCCTCTTGAACGAACACAAGCTCGAACACAAGCTCTGCTCTTAAGCAATTCCAAGCAATTTTTAGTAAATTTACACTCGGTTTCATATCAACTCTGAGATGGCTCACCGCGTTAGTTTATCCAAGGTCAACAACAGCTTTGGTAAGACACACAGTTTAATTTTACCATTTTACCTTTTACGAATACACTCACTCTCACGCAGATTTGATTCTTTATGATTCTCTTTTAAACACACAACACTTTTACTCACTTCTTATCCGGCTTCATGGTTATTTCACACAAAGCCAACCCTGCTCCCCGCTGACGAGTCCGCTAAAGGATGAAACGCCGCGTACGGGGATACTGATTCGCACGCTTGCCTTTCTTGTCTTCTGGTTTACTTTTCTACCTACCTCCTTACATAACTTTGATTTAAACACCACCAACAACACTACACAATCTATTACTACACACGTAACTACATAGTTTCTTGAAGAACTCCATCATACACAAACAAAACCCTTTTTACAAAAAAAAATTATTTCAAACACACCACATGGTTGGCGGTTGTCCAACAAATTTCTAATTACCCCATCTGGTTATTTCTATTTCTACGCCCCTTAAATCGCAATTAACTATTCAACAAATTACTCATTATGTTCCCTTTTTGCCCACATATACATAACGTCCAAAATTTTTTCTCTAGTTAGTTTAATTCAGACAATTGTTACAAATGAACTTATAACTATATAGGAACGACTACAATATGGTTCTAATTACCTATGTCAAAATATAAAATAAACGTTATCATTAAGACCACAATACATCAGTAAAACAGAACCGGTATAGCTACACTAGCTCTGTCACAGGGGAACCGCACATTATTATGCCGGCCTTTCGCATTGTTAGCCTATGCCGGCATGCATGGATACGTTTCGGTTGAGACCTATTCATTTATCGCAATGACCAAATTGCAAGCTCGCTGCTAAGGCTTTCGTACCTGCACAGGTGTGCATTGTAATTAAATGAAAGCATGCACCGCTAGCTTGTGTAAAATTAGGGAATCGAAATAGCGTTCTGTTTGATGATGACTTTGAAGTAGGCTAAAGGCGAAAAAGTATCGTCTCAACCTGTGATTCAACATATGCTTGATTCGTATTATGACTCTCGAGTTGTCCTTTCTATTCAGAATGTGAGGATAATAAATTATTGTGTATACTTAACATTGATTTGTAAGCAAGGGGGGGGGGGGAAATTGAGTGCAGTAAAGACAGGAAAAAGCAAGCGTCTGAACGAGTGCATGAGCATTCTTGCATGGGCTTTGACGCCGCTTCTCTTCCGACGGTAGTCAGAAAAGTCATATTGGCTTTGTGTATCTTTGATAACTTTCCTTATTGACCAACATATTTTTGCACGACGAATAATCCACGTGTCTCATATAGTTTACTATTTTACTCCATATTATGTATTTCAGTATTATTTTTGTGGTTTTCCCATGCATTGATAAAATGGCACGGTCCTGAAATGTGAAGAAAGGAAGATTGAATTAGGTTGTATTGATATTATATTTACTGCAGCCAGTTTCGATGAGAAAATCCATTAATCAAACAGCGGGTTGTCACCATCACCTGCTATAAAGTAAGTTATTTTATTAGGAACTTTACGAAAAAGGGTGCAAGGACCATAACGTTAATGATTATATTCCAAAGGTGAACAATAAGTAAATAATATGTTTTTTTTGTTGCACAAAGAATATAAACTGTATATTTATAAGTATAGTGGATGTACTCGAGTGACCCCTCCTCCTCATCCTCTGAGCAGTCGGAAAAATTCACATTCTCGAGCAGTGAACAATTATTCGACGGTATAGCTGTGGTATAATTTTTTTTTTATAGTCATAATATACTTTTTCTCCCGTTCGTTGGCTTTAAACGAGCTGCTCAATGTCTGGCGTGGATGTGTTGAGGCGTAGGGGTTAAACACCCTTACATCGAAAAATGCCTTTTCACATCACTGCAGAAACCTCTCGCAGCAATGTCCACTCTGGCGTCATCGGCTGAGTTAGCACTGGATGGAAGAATCTCGCCAGTCAAAGAAGCAAGGGCAGGTTCAATTGAAACATCGTAAGCAACGTCATCGATAGCAGCAGTAAGTTGATCGAGGATCTCATCATGTCTTCGATGGATAAAGGCTCCTTTCAGGCACGACAGGGCATGATCGACCGTGAACGATTTCCACAGGCGCAGAAAGATGGAAGGCGCTTCAAAGGCCATCGATAACGCATGTATAGATGACATCAAAGAACTCACGCTTGGTCAAGATGTCCATACA